GCGCCGCGCCCAATTCCCTGCGCGCCCCCAGCAACCGGCTCCCTTTCTTGCAGCCCTCTTCTCCGCCGGAGATTTATTGCCCTTATCTCCCCGGCCTTCGTTTGCTCGTCGGGTACTAAGCGCAATCACGATCGGTGGCCTCAATTGCCTGCAACGGTCTCTGGCTCGTTTTAATTCCACACTTCTAGATCTAGCAGAAGAACTAGTTCAACTGCCCCATCGTGCAAGCCTGTGAAATAAAATCTATGCTGCGATCAAAACATGTTTAATGTTGACTTGGCAGATTTTTTTTCCTTCAGGATTACATACACCGCGGAACAGGATTAAAAATATACCCTCGTCCCTAAGACGCATAGTATGAAACGCCATAGCACATCTTTCAGAACGACTATCGTCATTCGCAATCAAGCCGCTTGTAAAGAAAATTTAACAAAATGCAAAGTTTCTCTGTAACCGCTTAAGAAGTTGTCCGTAACTTACTCAAAAATAGAGCAAAAAAGTTATGACCGAACTATCAACCTACTACCCACTACACGATACGCAATTCAACAATGTATTATACATCCAAGAAACCAGGAACGTTAATCAGTCAAATATTAATTAACCATTTCCCCGCAAGTATTTTTATCCATCCTTAATTTCGGCTTCTCTACCTCAATACCGCCTTGGTCCAAACGATGTCAATAATTTGTTGTCAACGAGAATGTCATATCCGTTCATGCAACAATAAAAACACTTGTTACACACAATGGCTCAGTCCAAACACCACCCACACATCAATACACTGTTCCTACCAACCGCGCAACAACCCGGAAGCCGACTAACAACCAACATTACGTACTCTCCAAGTCGTATGTGAACACCCATTAAACTATCTTACAAACGGACCTCTCCAGAGCACTGCTTTATACGCGCATTTCCTCGTCGTTTCTCTGGCCGTGACCACAACATGATTTCACGAGTCTACTCAAGGGCCTTCCGCGAGCCCCCGTCCGCGGCGGCGCCTGCGGCACCGGCGCGCCGTCCCAAACCGGTCGCGCCCGTCGCGGCCGCCCCGCCGCACTCCGCCACCGACGCGCTGTGGGCCGAATCGAGCACCAAGAGCGCGCGCGCACAGAGCTCCTTCGCCGCCAAGCAGCACCGGTCACCGAGCGGCTCGCCGCTCTCACCACTTCACACACGAATTATAAATTCTGCACCGAAGTTCGATATAAATGGAAATTGTTTTTGTTCCTGAAATGTATGTTATTTTTATCAGTCATTTGAAAAATGTACATTTTCCATATAATTTTGAATGGGCTTCAAGGTTGCAGTAAAGAATCGTATACAATCAGTCGACTCCGGTTGTAGTGAACTCTGATATAGTGAACCCTCTGTTATAGAGAACATACGTCACTGATCCCGTTTCACTTACATTATAAATAAGCATAAGAAGATTCCGTTAAAATGCAATGGCCATCGTTAACGTAGGAACAACGACCTAGAAATTAATTACATCTGGAAAATAATACATCCCTTCAGAGCCACAAATTCCAACTCCATGCAGCTTGAAAAAATATTGTCGGCCAAAGGTCATAACCTAAGAAGTCTCCCCTGAAGACACCGAAAATGGACATCATCATTGCCACTCAGTTTCACTGTTGGAACAAAGGCCTCCTGCGTGAGATACAACTGGCGACGAGTGATTACTTGTTTCAGTTTCAATCCTGGTGTTACTTGATATTCCGCGAGATGAAGCGCGTTGAGGCCTACGTACTCGTAGACGCCAGGAAGCACGCGACTGCCACAGCCTGACGTTATCCGCCATGCCGCGCGAAAAATCTATCAGTGTTTTTTTTATTTTTTTATTTTTTTTGTTTGTTTGTTTGATAAGTAAATTGTTGATCGTTCTCCGATTCTTTTTTCTCAAACTCCTAAAATATTGATGGGGAACCAGAATTATTTGACCCACCAGAGATGCAAAAACCGGCTATATTTTTTGCCCGCCGGGGGAGGCTCCGTCACGGCCCATTCCCGTCGCCGCGCCGCCTGGCTTCCTGTGCCCACGCGGGTAACGGATCGCGAGGCGGGGAAGGGAGAGAGGAACGGATGAACACGAGTGAGGGGGAGAGGGAGGGAGAAAGGGTTGGAAAGGACAAATTTCTTTGCCCTCAGCCTAGGATACTCGCTATTGAAATTCCAGAGGAAGGGTGCACATGCATCTACAAACCACTAAGTCGCAACACAGCGAAGGCGTATGTACAGGAAATCGGTTGTCATAGGTAGTATGAAAGGTTCGGATACGTCATAGATTACACTATGTGACGTGGTAGACCTAGGCTCTACATGTTTTCCAACCAAAGAACTAAAATATAATTATTTTTAGGACAGTACCGTTGAAAAGCATCATCAGGAAAACCAACCATTAATTGCTTCCAGTCATGAACATTCAGACGTAGATATAATACCGGAAGAATATGTTATTGTTTTAAATGTTAAATTCAGGCATGTCACAGAAATTACATCAATGAATAAGGGAGAAAATGTAAAATGAAATGTGAAACAAAATGTTACGATATGTTGGTTGTTTTTTTAAATTATTCTTCTTCACATAAGCAAATCATATTTTCAAAATTATTACACGTCCTTGAAGAGATCACTGTTGCAGAAAAATATTCAACAATCAAAATTGACATTACTGAGGTATTAACTATTAACTTCACTCTTGTAAACAAAGCACACATTTTTAAAAAAAATCTTCCATGTATATCAAAATAAAGTTATATTATGAGTCAAATCCTTGTATTGGTCGAGCTGTATCATAGACTTTTAGCGTTAAAATGTACGAGTTTACTTCACATTGCTGGTGCAGTAACAAGTTAAAATACTGTTGTTCTCAACTTATTCACATTGCACGAGCCTAAGGAACCAATATTCCCAAGGATCTGATCTCGACTGGAGCCAATTCTCAATTTGTTTTGAAACTACCAACTACTTTTGAACTACCAACCAAAGTAGCTTGTTAGTCACAGGTGTGCGCGCCCTACCGCAACAAGGGGGGAGGTAATTACACTTCAGGGTCCCCCTTTTCCCCGTTTACATGAAAGTTTTATATTTGTATGACATCATTAAATAAAATTATACTACAAAGAGTATTATTGTTAAAACTTTGCTGATCATTAACAAATACAAATTATTTTATGTTGAACAATTTACAAGGTTGGCAGACCTGAAACTTTTACCACGTATGTCGCATAATACATTTCCTCATTTATTGGGTTTGACAAATTAATTGACGTTCTTGCGAAAAAATGCAATTAATTATTCAGTGGATTAACATTTTTAAAATGTTACTTACATGTAAAATAATAATAGCCGCTAATGACTAGAGACCGAAAAAATATGAAACGTCAAAATATGTAATGAAAGCACTAAGAATATGTAATCAATATGTAAAATCGGGTAATGTGTATTATTAAAATATACTAATTAAAAAACATTAATGTAATACGAAATTACATTTATAAAAAAATTCTTGAACAAATTAAAAAATACGAACGTTTTAAAAATCATTTATAGAGCACAAGTTGACGCATACTTTGCACCATACAAATTTTCCGTCAGTAGTCAAAACGTCATCCATTGCCATCCAGGACCGTAGTTAAGCAGCCAGACTACGCGCAATGAAAGTCATCGTACGAATTGACGATATCTGCGACGAGCAAACTATCACTGCAGCATGCAGCATACTCATCGAAGTGTTACACGCCTGCGAAAGCAAAATTTCCACGAAACTTATGGTTAAAGGTCAATATATGCGGTGTCAGTGATACTTTTCACACCCACGAGTAAAAATGATCTCCGTCGCTACTGCAACTTAGATTTCTGCAGCAGGCGTGTTGGACTGGGAAAATATCCAACCGCGTCTTACGTAGCGTACCTGGATTAGACAGCACGCAGGATTAGTGAAGGAAAAATGCTGATTTTTTTTAAAAAAATTCGCATCTTTTTTATAAATGTAAAATTGTTTTCATAAAAATTGACGAAATTTGATAGAATACAAAAATACTTTGTGAAAATAACAAAATGTGTAAAATACGTAATATAGTACAAAATATGTAAAAATATGTCACTAAAACAATTGATATTGTATTAGGACGGCGACGATTCACCGAGATTATAATTTTGAGTAAGGTAAATAGAACGACAAAAAATCTGCAATTACATAAAATCCGGTCTCTACTAATGACTAAATTTCATTTCATGAAGTGGCTTTCTAAGCCACTAAATGAAATGAAATTTAAAAAACTCGAACTGTCAATTCAAAAAAGGTAAAATAAGGAAATTGAAAATATTACGTATGTGAAGTATTTTATCACCTTCGGCAATGGTACAGTACTTAGAAAATGTTCAGGGAGGTCATGAAGGGGGGGGGGGTTGCCTTAACTCTACGCATGCCCATTTATGTTGCAACCAGAGAAATCTGGAACACACCTGGTGACATTCCCGGATCCCCTGCAGAGCGAAGATGACTGCGCGTGTTGAATAAGAGATCGAGCATTTAGTTATCTAAATGGGCACGCAGATTTCGTAATGTCAGGTGAAAGTATTTTACTTCATGTTTACATATACTAACATACTGCAAGGGTTGTGAAAACGTATCTTCTCTCGTGCGATAAATATTGCACGATATCTTATTTCCAACAACAATACGAATATCAAACACTTACACTACCATAAAAACATTTACGAACGCCTACTCGTAGCTTGAAAATGTTCAACATTGATTTGTGTGTAGGGAGTTTCCTCTACATTTTTTATCTGCAAAGCTCGAACTGTAGTTCACAGCGAGACAATTGAATACTAAATGATTCCTTATACTAGTGGGAGAGTTCTGCATTCCTAAAAGCTATTCTGCACGTTGTTTTCAATACAAATGTTCTACTTACTAATATCTTACACCTCAATATGTTTACCTTTAATATATTGTGTCCGAATATCTTATTTCTGTACTTCACAAAATGTACCATCGTATTTACATGGCATCCTCTCCGTTTCACCCCAGCATTCCTTCTCGAATACGCATCCTATCTGCCGATGCATCATCTATCTATCCGCTCGCGCGGCTCGGCGTCTGCGAGGAACCGAAGACATCAAAGTGCTTTCGACGCACCGCCTATCGCTCACGGGCGAACCATACAAGCTGCAAATTCAATTCACCGCCTCTCAGAGCGCGCAGCGATAGTGCCGACCCGCAGCCTCCTTTACGAGCCCGCCAGCGCGGCTCTGACCCGCGTCGGCGGGGCGCCCGCGCCAGGCACGGTGGGTACGAGAGCATCGCCACGGAGAGCAGGAGGCACAAAAAACATTACTTCTGAAATCAAACAGCGTGAGAAACCGTCGAAACAATTAGAGAATGACTAGAACGACAAGCAATTTAAAATCATGTGAAGTAAATACGTAAACTAATGCGGAAATTAAATGTAATCATATTAATTTATGTAGTTAGTATGTTGTACTGCGATCTTTAATTCGAAAACCAACACTCACAAGAAACCGTATGAAAGCACGATTTGCACGAACAAGAGAGAATTAAACTGTTTTCTAAAGTCAATGGAAACGAGTTAGAGAATGAAAACGGAAACCGAAACTTGCGCTCAGTAGCTCATCAATCTAACACCACTATATTAACGAGCAAAGAATTATATCGTTAGTTCGGTGAGTGGCGCAAGTTACATCCGGGGAGGTCGTGGTGCGACTCCCGAACAGAATGGTGACATCGGCGTTGACCTACACAGCGGCTTGAGAGGTATTCTCCCAACGAGGTAAATTCCCCAGCCGGGGGACAAGTCCACGCTCTAAGCTTCCAAGACGAGTAATAGTGTAGAGCACATAAGCGCGTGCGTGTAATCGCGCACGAGATAAGAGACAAGGATGAGGAAGGACAGATATCGTGCGTTCCGTGGCCTGTTTATTAGTGTAATAATCCGTCATTCACCTGGTATTGATCGAAGGGTTTGCAAAATCTACCGACGAGAGCAGCCGGTCGCTAGAATTCTTCAGGCCATAGTTAAATCCTATCGACCTAGTGTCGGAAATGCGCCACCCCCCCCCCCCAGGACTCAAAAACAAGGCCTTCCCGGTCAACGATGCTGCAGACGCAACGCAGTTTCAATACCCCACCCTCCACCCCACCCCCAACACTGGAGGAGGGGAGGGGGAATACAAGGGCGCGCAGCCTCCGCGGGACCGCAGCTCAGGGGGGGGGCGACGGCCGCTGTGCCAGGCACGCGGCTCGTAAAGCGCCCACGCGCCAGGAGCTCCTCTCGCGAGCGCGAGCGCGAGCGCCGCGCCGCGCCGCGTGCCTTATCGCCGAACAGTGTGCGAGCGGGGCTCCGGCATTCCGTGCCGCGCTATTCACTCGCCGAGGTCGACAGGAAGGCAGCGGCCGTGCTCGTGATCGAAAACACAATAAGCCACTGCCTCCGTTTCGTTTTCAAACCTACAATACATTATCAGGAGGAAATCGCAACTGACGTTGTGGTTAAAACAACAAAGTTTCATTTTTAAGATAAATAAACATCAAAAGTTTTGAACAATGGACATTATATAACAGCTTTTGAAGGAAGTTTTACATTTCTCTAGACAGGGTATTCATGAAGATCGCAAAATCTACTTCATAAAAATATTTTTGTATTTTGATGCCCAATTCCGCAACATCCGCAGAGAAAATTGGTCATCAAATACAAATCAATGTAAAAAACATTCTGCTCCGTGTCTATCTACTCAGACATTAACGCAAGCAGCGCCCAACCTCCAAACTACCAAACCATTATCAAAATTAAAGGCAAAATTGAGAATAATTAAGTGCTCCATTCCCTAATTTTAGGCCGTACTACATGTATCAAAATAATGGGCGCTGCTAGCTTCAGTCGAAAGTTAGCTCCGACCACCTAGAAAATACATTTTTCCATAATTGCACGTCAACGAAAATTCATTCAAAAATGAAGGGTAATTAAAGGATCGAGGGGAAAAAACTTTCCCAGCCCATATTTTTCAAAAATAAGGGTTGCACAACGTGAAATAAGTAACACGTTCTTTTGTGCTAATACACCCGAAAACTCTAAAACCTAAAAGAAATCTAAGGCTCACAAAATGCTTCAGAGAAGTTTCGGCTCTAGGGGGACAAATTCTTGCAGACCTCTATTTTCCAAAACGGAGGGGACGAAAATCAGGGCAGCCTTTAATTTTGGTAAAGGTTTCATATTTTGTTCCGATGCTTTTGGATTAGTCCATAAGAATGCACACTTTTTCGAAAAACTGAAATGAGATTTTGTTTTTAGACTTGGATGGAAGTTTGGATGGATTTTTGTTGGCTTGAAATTTTGGGATATCGAAAGGAGACAAAGTTCAGGAATAGAGCATTCAATTAGCCTTTAAATTTGGATATGGTTGGTTGATTTTGTTTTTGGGGGCTGGTAACTTATACAGATCATTTTCCAGATATCCGCACTGCTTCAGCTTGGAAAGTTTCACACCTACCGCTAACGCAACACTGTCTATAACTCAAGACACCGCAGCCTGCTCACCTCTAACCTACTTAAAACGCGATTTTTTTGCTTTCAACTGCTTCATTCGTGCAGTTGCTCGCGGACGCCTTCAACTGATTAAGAGGCGACCAAGATCAACCTCTGAAAGTGGAGACGTCGTGGGGCTTAATGACGAGAGCTCGTTT